ACAACTGAAAAGCAGAGTCAAGACTCACTTCCTGAGTGGACTGGCCAGAAAAAATCCAAAATCCTGTGTTTGCCAATAAACTGGCCCAAACCCAAGGCGTCTACAGTCTGGGAACTCAGGGAGTGAGAAGAGGTGTCAAGCTGAAGGCCGTTTCGGTGTGGCTTTATCCAAGGCCGACGGCCCATGTTGCACATCAACGTGCTCACATTTGGCACATTCCCCCCCCCCCAAAAGGGATGAAGCGTTTTTTTGGGGAGGTCTATGATAATCTGCAAAGTATTTGAGCAACCATGATAGGTAGGGACGCGCAATTTACTGCAATCCCTCAGCCTAAAGAATGTTGTCTAGTGATATCCCCGCAGGTCTGATGGCCCGGTCAAGGTTTCGGCCGAGAGCCTCCTGATCTAACCTTCACCCACTTTTCGGGGGGCCTCACAAGTATGAGTAAACGGGCTGGAAAAACAGGAAAGCAAACGGAGCCAAACTACGAAACACCATTTTTAAAGTTATCCACGCTGATGCCAAGAGGCGTCCCTTTCATCCTGCCTCGGATATCAAGAGTCGTGAGTCGTGGTTCAGCCGCTTGCCAACTTCCCACCCGCCTTGCCAGAACTCGAATCGACTAGACGTGCCAGTCGTCTTCGTCTTGCCAGTCTCCTGCACCAAGCGCGTTTCGAGTATATTGGCGGCCTGGAATCCAGAATCTAACTCGCCTCTCTGGATCTGGTCCATCTTTTACTGCTAAGTTCAGTATGTCTATGGGGAAGTTCATTTCACAGATCCCACAACCCTGAAAGCAACACGATCCTAGGACGGCACAGTCTTTCGTCTTGCGCTTGTCACTCCTTCGTCCTCCTCGGGCTCAACATATCCTTGGCCAAGACTTCACAGGCAGTAACTTGGAGTTTCCGTGGCAAACCTGTCCATGGACAAGGACTGGCAAGATTCGCGAGGGAAGCACTTGAGAACGTTCCAATCTAATTGAGACCCAGCATTGTCAAGGAAAGCCACCGCAGCCCAAAGCTTCCGCGTCTGAATTCCGCCACTCCGGCGAAGGCTTTGATTATATTGAATCTTGATTCGACCTAGGCCTCGGGTTTCTACCGGTCTCCAAAGCCGCAAATTGAACGCGACCTGAAGCCTTTGACTTTGGGATCTCAATGGCTCTCAATGGGCCTGCCACCGAGCCCAACAAAAGAGAAGGAAGGAGCTAGGTGAATTGGCCAACCTGGGCGCTAGCTCAATGACTCAAGACTCAGCTCATTGGGCCTGCCACACCCTTTGTCAACCAAGCTGCTTTCGCCCAACTTGGCGCCCATGGGGTAGGAGGAATCTGAGAGCACCTCAGAGTCGAAAAGTGCTGGGCCCTGACCAGCACACTCCGAACATCATGTTTCTGGAGGAATGCCTTTCACTCATACCAACACACATACCAAGACACATACCCAGTTAAGTAAAGCCATGCTACGCTTTTTCAGCGTACAGCGGGACCTTCCGCAACCTGCGCTTGACCGGCGCTTGAATCGCTCAGTGCCAAAACCCATGGCCTCAGGTCCGGAACCGCATCCATGGCAAAAGGCACGGGCCATCCATATCGAAGCAAAAATCCCAGATTTGAATGGCTGGAAATGGAGTTGCTGTCAAACATTGGCCCCTGATGTTGCACACAAATGGCGCGTTGTTCGGACAAAAAGGGCGTGTTTAAACATGAGTTTGCGAAGCCAAAGTGGTGGACTGAGACCGTACTGTCGCCACGGGCCGCATTGAAGGCCTTGTTCAAGGGAAGCAATGCCAGTGCCCAGTCTGGAGGTCCCTAGCTTTGACACCTATCCACTCGATCCCATGGCCCGCCCAAATCCGGATCGGTATTACATGGAAGGCTCTTACAAGACTCTCCCAACACTAAAAGCCGCGGGCACGTTGAGTCCTTGGAAACAGGGATATCTATATATCTGCATTGAATGATCCTTATGGAAGCGACAGGTTCCAACGGCCAGGAAAGAAATAAACAACTTAAGTGAGGGTCGTGATTTCCGATGAGTTCCCGGCATAACTCGCAGAGGACCTTGCGCATCGGTTGTTCTATCCAATGTACCCGTTTCGATTACCAGAAAAGCCAGAACAGTAAACATGGATGCCATCGGTTGTTCTATCCAATGGATGCTGAGCGTCTTCTGACGAAGCTGAGTGGAATGCCCCCCAACAAAAAAACGCTCTGCTCGCCACCCGGGTTCACACCCAAAGGCCATTGCCGGCCAGGCGGCGCCACATTCGCCGCAGGCATAGATCTTGGCTGGCTCGCCCACCTGCACCACCGAGAGATCAAGCAATAGTTAGGCTTGAAGTCGAACTAAATTACCCGAGCCCTTCTAAATATTCGAATATTAATTTAAATGGTTAGGTTTGACTTCGAATTGTACTCTAATCCCTTCTTTTCCCTAGCTAGTATTTATGAAAATAGAGATTTGAACTTCCATCACCATTCGGCGTGGCCCAAAACATCCGACGTTTTTTGGGGGAGGGGGTCCCCAATTTCAGGAAAAAAGAGGCGTCTGGTGCTTATGCGACCAGCTATTGTTCTTGTTGACTTCCAAGTTTACCATGGCTCTGCGGCTCTAAGGCGTGATTCCCCATTCACCCATCCTTGTCAGTAGCTCTCATTCTCGTGTGGCCCATTTTCTGAAGAGAAGGACCACTCTAAAATGAACGTGATGCAGAGAAGAGACCCCTCAAAGCCACTTTCTCTCCAGCCTGTGAGTCGTGGCTTGACGAGTGAAGGTATGACCCAAGGCATATGCTCTAGTTCAGACGGCGGGGGAACAAAGGCTCCCATGGCAGGTTTCGCGTACCCCCAGGGTAGTTGAATTGAACCAAAAGGGGTAAGGGGCCGCTTGTGTCAACTTAAAAAGGGCACCCTTGAACCAAAGAAACAAAACAACAACGAAAACACGCGCGCTCAACAAACGCCAACCCCATGGTGCCCATCAAACGGGCGCTCGCTCTTCATAAACACGCCTTGCATCCGGACCCTTGCAGGGGTGCGGGATCGTCGCCACAGGGTTCATCATCCCAGCGACGAAGGCGGATGTAGCCTGCGGGTTCGCTGTTCTAAAGGAACCCTACCTTGTCACATCTGGGGTAGCAAGTCAAATTTCAGAGGCTGGACAAGTCGTCCCTACTCGTTGTAAAGTTTTGGAGGAGACTCCAGTTGCGTGCAAACGCTTTGGATGAGGACCTTGATGGATTCTGGTAAACCTCTAGTTGCTTTGAGTCGCTTGGGAAGGACTGCTAGTCGGGGGGGTCCAAACTGACACACACACACAAACACAGACCTGCACCTAGCTTCACACACAAAACCAATGAGGAAGCTCACAAGTACGCATGTAGAAGAATCCAGATTTGGGGCGATTGCTATTCACGATAGTGCCACCCCTGATATCAACCTCTCGTATGATCACCCGAAACCTCGAAGTCTTCAAGCAAGGCTGTCATGAGAGGCTTGCAAAGAGGATGCATCCTGGGAAAGTCTCGCATATTCCTTCAACTGGTCCAATTTGGCCCCTAAGGTATACCACAAAAAGCGCCATAATATAACCACTAAAATGAGCACGGCTACGGTTACGTGGGGGATCCGGGCGAGCAGTCAAGCGGCCGTTCTCACCGAAGTTGTTACCCCAGCTGTTGCGGATCAGCCAGTACTTCGTGCCATTCCTTGGCAATGGTGTCCCTCTGTGGCTTCTGGGGATGTCATTTTTGTGAGGAAGCGCTCCCATTCTGGAGGTGCCCCAAACAAATGCACGGCCTCCGCTCACAAGACAGAAAGTAACCCCATGTAACCCCACGCGCGCAGACACAACCCAGTCACGAGACATGTCTTAGGCTGTGACTTGCAATGTTTACACCCACAAGTAGCTGCGATCAGAAGGTCCTATAGCAGTCTCCCCTTGAAAGCATGTTCCAACCCCCTCCACAGGCTCACCTGTACCTACAAAAGCCAGCGATGTTGTGCTTCTGCGGGTGATCATTGCGTTTGTATACTGGCAATTTGAGCATCTGGCAATATCTCAGGCCCCGCTTTCTGCAGGTGCATTTCTCATTTTGAAGCTATTGTAGGTTGGCGCGTCGCATGTATGGACCAAAGCACAAGCTGTCATATATCACTTCTGTCCGACCGATTAAACACTCCAGATCCCTCTCCATTGGAACTTGCTTGTCTTAGAGGCAACATATTTGCGCAAGTGCTGACAGAGTCCCCGTTTAGATTCGTACAAACATGCAACAAGGGAAAATCGTGCTCTGGACCCACAGTCCATCTGTTCGGACCTTTCACCAAAAGGCAAGGAGGGGTCACAGTTCCAACACAACTGGCCGCCCACAAGACCATGGCTTCCAGCGCATGTAGATGGGGGTCGCTCGCAGGAGGTGCATCTCTCCCGCTGGCAAATCTGCTCAATACGATTCAAATGAATGGATCCAGATTCATCGGGGGAAGTTTGCAGCTTCCGTTTACATAGCTCTTGGCTCTTGGTGTTGCTCATACCCCTGTGCCCTAGTTTTCAATGAAGAGCATGAACAAAGGCTACATATGCATTACCATTTTGCCAAGCCACTCCTCGCCGTAGCCTTCGAGTGTCACCGCGTGGTTGATGTTCGGAGCTGTCTTGTTGCAGCTGTCCCAAATGCCTGCTCACTCCTCTCTGCTTCCCCCCGCCAAACCAACCTCCAAAAATGGTATCACAGCTTTTCCCAGCAATGTTTGGGGACCCCCTCCTTCAGGGTGTGAACTAGTCCTGGTCAGCTCTTGATTTGTTTGCAAGTGTTGAGGCGCCATGGGTCTATCTTTTTTGGGACATCCTGTTTGGTTGGTTTTGAGAGGAACGTAGAGGAACATGAAAGGAACAACACCGTTTTGGGACGTCCACTAGAAAAGACACCCCCAAATGATGTTGGTGTCCTGGGGCTATCGAGATGGAAGACAAGAACAATGTGAAAACCCATTTTCATCGGCCAGCATGTGAAATGTCGGGGCCCGCGCACACGCCTCCAGCATACATCCACCAATCAGTGGCATCCACAGACACCGCCACGGGGCCCTTGGAGATGGCTTCCATCAAGGCCTTGGTACTGTCATACCAATCTGACCGACCCCACACCCCAACCCCCCCCCCCCACCCCGCTTGAATCACCCCACCCTCCACTCCACCGTCCCCCTACACCCGCGCGCCCCTCCCCACCAACCCCCGCCCTCCGAGCGGGGATCGCTCCCCATACACTTCTAATGGACCCTTCAAAAATTATGTTGGGCCAATTCTGGGTGTGTGGATCGCTTTGAAGACAAATCCCGGGCTGGGTTTGTCTAAAGAAACCAAAGGGACACCACCCATTTTGAGGCTTCGACCATGAGACACATCAAGGGATGTTGGTGTTGGATGCCAATAAGCCACAAGTTACTAGCTGATTTACATTGAAACGATCGCCATTTCTGGAGGTTGCCTGAAAGGGAAATGAAGAAAACACCCGAATGAGGGGAACTCTAACTTGGCTTGCTTCATGAGGTCGCAACCTCTGGACCGGTGCTTTGGGTGAAAGGTGAAAGTCTATCTTGGAACAAGGAATCCCCAAGCTCAGCTTTATTTCGCAGCTGTACGCCAACTTCGACTGTTTTCAGTGTCATTTTATGTATCAAGGTGTTGGTACAGCTTGCCACTCCCAGAAATTGATAAAGTTGGATGCTTCTCAACGGATACTTTCTTGTGGTTTCTCTTTAAAAGCCATCTGAAAAGGGATCCACAATTTTGAAACCAAGTCGGTTTTGGGCCCAGCTGAGTCATTTGAGCAGCGGCGCCGCGGCGTCGTTTTTCGGCACGTTCACGTGGCCGGTGATGCTGGCCTTCTTGGGCAGGTACACCGTGCCGTTGGTACCCTTGCCTTGCGCCAGACGGAGTTCCCATGGGAAAGACACGGCGAAACCGTCTTGCCTCTTTTCTTTAATGGCGAAACCCGCCCAAAAGGAACACCTGAATTGCAACACTTGTCTGGGTAGCTCGCATCGGCTCGGATTACCCCTAGCCGGAGATAGGGTCGGTTGTTCCATCTTATTCTACAAGCAGTTCTGGGAATGAAGTTGGATGGGTTAACTACTTTTGTCATATCAAGAAGACTCCTCCAAAATCAGTGTATTGAAACTGCACACATGCTTGGGTGTATGATGTTCATAAACACAGTCCTGCAGCTGATGTTCCGCAGAACGCATGCTCGCAACCACCTGCCACCTACTGGGTCTCATGAAGCAGTTCGACATCTTCAGAGGATGACATAAGCGAAAGCATGGATTGAATGGATTCTTCAGATACTCTTGCCCAAAACAAACCCTTGCCTTGGATTCTATGGAAACTTAGGTAGTCTGTGGAAACGGATTACTTATTGGGGGTCCCGGGAAACATGGCCATATCAAACACACGGCAAAGCGACTCTGGGAGCCGTTTTGACGAAAATTCGCAAGTTGAACACAGCGGATCTGTTGGGAACATGAAATTGGCGGACTGGCTAGTGAGCCTGGGCCAAATGTTGGAAACATGTTGCCCAAAGGAAAACGAGAAGAGGACACTCGGGTAACCCTTTCCTCAATTGGTGGTTTGGATTCGTGGTTGGTGAATTTCAGCACTTGTTGAGGGTAAATTGGGACACCTCTCCCTGAAGACCACCAAGTCACAGAACCAACCACCAAACCAGGACGAAGCGGAGGAACATCCAAATGAAGGAGTCTCAAGTTGGAGCAATGCCCAACCCGCGGAAGTCTGAGATTGCTCAATTGCATGTGCACGTGGGATATGTACATCGTACCCGCCACAAAACCCTACCCAAAGCAACAATTCACGGATACTTCCAGTGCGATTTGGCGTTTTGGGAGTCTCTTTCGTCAAACAAGGCATTCTGAAAGGCACTCTGCAACCTTCTCCCAGAAGGAAGATCCCCTTCAATCCCATTCCCGAACTAAACACCGGGAAACAAACACAAACAGGAAACAACAACTACAAAACAGTCCCGGGAGAAGAAGGGTCTGGCAGCTCCATCTATGTCCAGAACCAGTTTGTGGTTGTTTTTTGTGTTTGCTTTGTTTTCGAATCAATTTGGTTTCCCCGTGTGTGTGTGTGTGTGTTTGCTTTAGTTTTGGACGTTTTGGCGGCGTTCATGGGCATTCAGTAGGCCCTACATAACTAAATAGAATTGACTCATATATATATATATATATACACATCAAATATCTCTCTCCCCTCCCTCTCCCACAGCTGTCGGACGGTCATAGTCCTTGCTGTGCAAATACACATAATATGCTAGCATGTTCTGCAAGCTCCATATTTGTAAATCCCCCGAAAGGTAGAAAGGTCCTCATTGCAAAAGGCCCTCGTTGCCTCGAAATTCCTGGGGCCCCCGCATTCCTCGGTGCTGTACTTGGTGCCGCTGAGATAGGGATACATCCAAATATCCGAAAGTCCACCTGCCAGGACCGAAGAGCCCTGAAGAGTTGCAACATGCCAAAGACATGTACTGGAAGCAGGTATATGAGGACAAGACAACTAGTTGCACTTGACCATTTTTAGATATTTTGTCTGCACCCGCTGCAGATTTGAACAAGTCAATCGAATCTAAATACTGGCTGATGATACTTGAGTGTGAGTTGTTTTTAGGGTACACTGTTTGGGGGTTGGTTTAGAGGGAACCACCTGTTTGGAGGGAATGTTGACTGGGCCGTTCCCAGATCCCGTGTTCAACAAGAATCCCAACGAAAATATTTGTTTCTTTCCGAACTTGACTTGTAAAAGGGCGCTGCCCTTGAAACAGTGGGACAAGTGGGTTCCAAATTTGGGGAAGCGCATTGACAGCGGGTCGCTGCCCCAGCAGGGTTTCTGTTACTTGCTAACATCAGATCTTTCTACGCAGAGCGAGTGTAACGTCAACTGTCAGTGTATTCAAGCTCGACACCCAAGCGACTTAAGTACATCGATGTGACCTGGGCAAACAGAATGAACCTCCCCGAAACTATGATGTTCCTCAAAAAGATGGACAGAGTTCGCCAACGACACGCTTCAACCGACTTTGGGATCAAGGAAGCTGCTCAGCTCACCCCTGTAGCAGGAAGAAAGAAGGAACATTTAGGCTGTAACTCCCCACATTCGCGACATGGAATCCCTGCCATGCTTGACAAAAACAGCAGCTTTTGGGGGAGGCTCTTGGGGTCCATCTTCATATTCGAGTCCCGCTTTGGGTCGGGAAGCTGGCCCCAGAGTCCCAAACAATGCGTAAGGAGTACTCTTGCTTTGGATAGTTCTGGTAAATGTTAAAGGCGGTTCCCCCTTCAAAACCCTACGGTGCAGGAAGCAATCCACTGGGCCTCTGGGCGGTTGCCATGTGTTGTTGTTCTGTTCTTGTTCATTTGTTTTTTGCCCGCTTGGGTATAGGGAGACAAACACAAAATGCAGTTCTCCTCCTGTTTTCCCTGCCAAATGCAAAACACATATGGAGCCCCCAAGCAATTGTGTTTTCTGACTTCCTTCCCCAGTGGATTGGTCAGAAAAAAACAACCTTTGTTATCTTTGTTCTTTCCACTAAAATGGTCCAAACCCAAAAAGCTTTCAAAGTCCAGGAACTCAGCAACTGTGGCTTTCCCTTAGAAAAAGAAACGCACACACACACACACACACACACACACACACACACACCCGCCGCCGTTTGGCCGCAAGCGACGGCGGTGTCTTCGCCTTTCTGTGCTGCGTAGTCAAAGGCCAGCTGGGCCGTGGCGCCCGTGCACCCGCCGTCGCCCCCGCATGACCGGGGGTTGCTGACGCAACTGGTGAGCTCCTCCCAAACTCGGGGGAGGGGGGGACAAGGGAGCTCAGAAGAACGCCTCACAAACGGGGGAAGAACAGGAAAACCCAGAAATGGGGTGGCAAGGAAAACCAAAGGGACACCAAAGCACAAATTCATCACAACAAAGAACACCCACCAACAAAAACAGCTAGTGTCCTGAGTGGATTGGCCGAATTTACATTCATCCATCCACTGTTTTGTGAACTTTCCAGATTGAATGTCAGACAATTAGCCCAAACACTTTTGGCTTGCCATTAAAGGTCTGTCCAAGAGACTGCAGTCCAATTGGCAATTGGGGTGTGAGCCTCCGAAGGCGATGGCGGAAAATGAGGGGCAGCACCCCCGGACATAATTTTACTCCCCGCTAATGGTTTGGGGAAAACACCAAAAAACATTTTGTGGGATGTCCTACATAGCGTCATGTGCTGCGGCGGCCAACTTGTGCTTCTAGCGTAGCGCATCTGGATTGGTGTACTTTCCAAACCTGTAGGTTGCGTGCTTGAATGATTTGGCTGCGCCCCAAAGCGTAGGTGTATGACTGAGCCACAGCGGAGGCTTAGCCTTGAAAGTTGCCGGTGGCCATCAGGTTCACCGGCCATTTGTGGCCCTTTGCTGACGAAAGCGCAGAGGCGAAAAGGAGAGATGCATGGCACTGAGGTTTGCAAAGGCTTCAACTGACAGCATTTTGTAGTGCATTCACTAAATAGTACCCAGCATCTAAGGATAGCCCATGTTCAGGTGGCAAAAGCAGAGGCAAAGAGCCCTGAGCGCCGGAAACTCAATCCGTCCTGCGGCGAAAGCTCCAGCAAAACCCCGGTATTGATGGCGACGTGGCTTTCCTCGGCCAAGTGAAAGGCGAGCCGAGGTTTATGTGGGTGTGGTTCAAGAACAAGAGCTAGGCTTATGCAGGTTGTAGTCTTTTGTTCCATTTGCTCAGCTTGGTAATTCTGTGCAGTTTTTTGAGCCACGACCCATATATGATTGCTTGGACGGTCAACTAATTCTCTGCTTTGGAACATTGAAGCCGCGGCGAGGCTCCATTTGCCATGTTGACTCCGATTGAAAATGAAGCATTCAAGCAATGAACCAATGCCTCTGCACAATAACACAGAGCCGGCTTCGTCGGAAGCTTCTAAAGCATAAAAACTACGGTTCTGGTCTTCAGATTTGTTTGTTTCGTTGCTTTCTTTCTTCCTTCTTTCCTTTCATTGCTTCTTGTCTCTCCGTGTTCCTTTCTTTCTTTATGTTTCTTTCTTTCCTTCTGTCTTTCTTCTTTCTTCCTTTCGTTTGTTCTTCTTATTTTGTTGTTCTTTATTGCTTCCTTTCTTTACTTATCTCTTTTCTTTATCTATTTATTTTTGTTTGCATATCGATCTTGCTAACTATCTATCTGTCTGTCAATTTGACTATCTGTCTATCCTCTCTCTGCCTATTCCTGCACCCGATCTATCTAGCTCTGTAGTCCAATGTCGCCTCTCTCTCTCTCACTCTATCTATCAATATCTTCTATCTTTCTCCCTTCTCTATTTGTCGGTCGATCTATCTACCTATCGATCTATCTATCGATCTATCTATCTCTCTCTATCTAGCTATCTATCCATCCATTTAACTCTCTCTCTCTCTTTCTCTCTTTCTCTCTCTCTTTCTTTCCATCTAGCTACCTCTCTATCTCATTTCTCCACCCGTCTACCCATCTATCTACGCGTCTATCGATCTCTTCTCTATCCATAGCTATCCATCTAGCTGCTATTTCCCTCTCTGAATCTTTAGCTCCCGCTGTGTCTATGTATGTCTCTCCATCTCTCTCTCTCAATCCATCTCCGTATGTTTATCTGTCTTATTTCGCTCTCTCTATCTCTTATCTATCTAATTCGCCTCCAAAGAGAATCTTCGCTTTCCCCCCCAACCAAAATTTTGCCGGGCCGCCCCCCCCCCCACCCCCCCCCCACCATGTCGGCTGGCCCAAAATCCTGTCCGGCGGGCCTTGAAATTTTCGGGGTTCGTCGGCGTCCAGCTCCATAATTCCATTTTTGTCGAAAATGTTGCAGAAAATCACGAAAAAAGCTGTCCTGAAAAGCATGACCTCCTGCTGGCCAGGCCTCTCTGACGTGTCTGAGACTAGGCTCAGGCCCAGCCCAACCAGCAACCCGCCTGCTGGCCAGGCCTGTCAGCCCACCTGGGCCAACCAGCAACCCACCCCAGCCCAGCCTGCCCAGCCAAGGCCCCGGCGCATCTGAGGGCCAGCTCCCAGGCTCAGCCCAGCGTGCCAATTGTCTAACGTGCCTGAGACTGGCCTCAGATGGCCTCAGGCCAACGACCAGTCTGTCTGAGACTGGTCTCAAGCTACGCACCAAGCCTGTCTGACGTGCCCCAGCCCCCCAGTCCGGCTGCCCAAGCAGCTCAGCCCAAGCTGACCAGGCCTTGACCTCCTGCTCGTGTCTGGCCCCAAGTCATCCAGCAGGCCCAGCCCCTTCGGCGTCTCAAGGTATGCCAGCCTGAGACTAGCCTCAGGCCCAGTCCCTCAGCCCGCCTGCTGGCGTGTCTATTGGGGATATTTTTCCGGGGTACTTAAGCAAATGGAGGTTTGTATTCCCACCATGTACCTGTCTTGGGCTGAGCAACCGAGCAAGAAATGTATGTCATGGCAAGCCGCCAGCCACGTGAAATGGAGGTGCCCAAACACCCAAAGTTGGTCTTGGTTGTTCAGTGACACCAATTATTGTTCCCCTTTTTATGGAGGCCAAGCCCCACTAAAAATGCTCATCCCCAGAAAGAGGTCCTTTTTTTTCCAAGGGCACTGAGCAGCTGAGATAGTCTTGGTTTTGGATTTCAAACCTTCCGAGCAGGACGGCTTCCGAACATCGAACTAGCACGGGCGAACTGGTGCGGTCACAAGCTTTCAGTAGGATTCGGACCTTCCCAACACTGGATTTCGGTGTTCCTGACCCTTCCCTCAAACTAGGCTGGGCCGAGGCGGGCAACGCGAAGCGTTTACAATTATCTTTCTCGCTCTCTCTCTTTCTCTCTTGTCCATCTACCTATCCATCTATCCATCTATCCATCTATCCATCTATCCATCTATCCATCTATCCATCTATCTCTTTCTCAGCTCGCTTGAGTTTCACGCCAGCCCATTCAAATCTTGACACTTGCTCACAGAAGGCGCTTCCAGGCTCAGGCCAAATGCCAAGACGAAGCTGAACAACATACTAAATTAGGCCTAACACACCCAAACTAGTGCTGACAAACTAGGATTAAAGATTGAACGCGGAGCAAAGACCGAAAGACAAGTTGGTTGCCCGAGTAAATTAACGCAGGGACCTGCAATTAAAACAAACACACGACACGGCAACACTAAAAAAGAAGCTCCAGCATATTTACCAAAATGGGCTTCAATCCAGATTTCTCAGGAAGCTCCAGCAATACACAACAATTGAACTGAACCTCAAGATGTTCTGCAAAACGCATCAACGTGTTTCTCCAAAAATAGCAAAACCTTCGTGCTTCGGGGTCGACCTCATTCGGGGACTGTCATGACGCAACATGCCCGCCGAACGTGACTGCAACCATCCGCAGATAGTTGGGATATTGAATATCTACCAGCTTTGTGTGTTAGCAAATGCCAAAACACAAACAGTCTTTGAAGTCCTCCCCCGAAACTCGCATGAACAAAACACAACTAAGAACACAACAGCAAGAAGGAAGACGCAAGGCCAATCACCTCCAATCATCCAAGTCACCATTACCGAAGTTGCAGCAAACGCCCAGCAGCTGCCACACCCACCCTGACCTGAGCAGTGGAAGAGATCTGAGCGGAAGCATCCAAAAGGTCTTCCTAATGTTAAAGATGTATTTCGGAAGTCCAACATTCGGGAATACTACTTTTAGAATAGCCAACACTAAACCAATTCTAAGGTAGGCATTTTTCCTGCCCGTACTCAACTCCAGCCCTATTAGGGGGACCCTGGAGTACGGTTCCTTTACTACGGTTGTACTACAAAGTTACGCGGGAGCACGTTTCCGTGACCACAGTCGCACTACAAAGTTGCGACTTTGGAGCCGGAGCTCCGGGACCATTTTTTGGGTTTGAGCGATGCAGGGGATGCCAGGAGTGCAACGGACGCTGGAAAGCCCAGATGCTGGTGATGTAGGAATGCTGGGGATGCTGGCGAAGTTGGCGAGGATGCAGAGGATGTTGGCGGACATGCTGGCGACTGCTGGGGGCGATTTGCACGGCATTTACAGTGTTTTTTCAAGGTTGGGCAACGTGGCATCAGGAGCCTGTCCCAAGCCAGGGACGCTGGGGATGTTTTGGGGTCCAAATGTTTGGGCTGGCCTGCGTGCAGGTGATGTAGGGGATGCTGAGGAGGAGCTTGGGGTCAGCGGTATACCCTACGGGTAGGGTTGCCCTTGCTCTTCGAGCTCGAAGACACACAGCGCAGCTGGACTTTTTTAATTAGGGGCGGGCGCTTTGTCAATAGGGGAGGGATTGCCACGCATGCCTGGAGAGCTTTAAAACACCTGGAAAGCTGATTGAAACGGCTGCAATCTGCATAGCGCAAAGCCAGTCACAGCTGGGTGCTGCGAATTCCACCATCAGCGGGCAGTCGCGCGTGTGTGCTCTCAGCGCGCGCAAAAACCGCTTTTGGCAGTCGAAAAGCTTGTCTTGCAAAGGCGCCCGCTGTTCACTGTCAGGGCTAGGAAATTCGGCGGTACGGTAACACCATGGCCGGTTCACTTGCACCCGCCTGAGTTGCTATAGGACTGGCGTTGCGCAGCAGCATCTATGTTGCGATTCGTCGTTCTCTATGTAAAACACACAGCGCGGACGGCCATGCCAGGCGCTGCTACCTTTGCTGGAGCTGTCCGCAGGCCGCCTAGCGGCTGGTTTTCGATCACTTGGGGTGGAATGAGTGAACTAAGTGGGGCCATCCCCAAGTACCGGTGGCTGGACCACTTTTCACGCAATTCTGGGTTCACCGGTCGCTCACAGAGCTGCGGCGCTCTTGCAGGTCACTTGGAAGGCATACGCGAACCAACTGGACGCGCTTGCGATCCCAAAATTGCTCGCCTTCGATCCTAAATGGCCGTCTGGAGGGGAAAAGGGTTGGGGTGGCTCATTATGGCGCGCCTGCTTCGCTCTGGGCTGCTTGAGGGGGAGGGGGGGAGGGGGGGGGGCGGATCT